AAACACCCTATTAGAGTGGTGGTTGGGTCCCACGTTGCTGGAGCAGAAGCCCTAAAGTTTGTGTCCAATCTGGCTCCATTCCTTCTAAGTGTGTGCTCTCCCTCCTCCCAGTACCAGAACCCTTGCCCTAGAGGGAGCAGGGTTCCCTACAGGAAGAGGGGCCAGGTACGGGTGCATAGTGTGGGTCTACTGGCCTGGGCTGTGGCCACCTGACCAGTCAGAGTCTCGGATCACTTCTGATGTGCTGCCTCTGTAAGTACCAGTAATGTCTGCCCCTGTGCTGTTCAGATGCTCTTCTGGGTCTGGGTTGGCACATTCCCTCATGACTGATCACTCCTCTCATGGCAGCCTTTACCCTAGTGTAGAGCTGCATTGTGAAGCAAGTGGGCACAGTGAACGTGTGGCTCACGCTAGGGTGCTCGTTGGAGTGGTTGTGGGAAACTAGACAGAATCTCATACAATTTCACTCTTTTTCTGCCTTGTTTCAGGAGTAAGCAAGTGTATGCATGCAGTTCACTAGCGGAGTCTAGGTTTCTTACAGCCCTCCTGTTAGTCCCACTGGTTTTCAAAGTAGCTAAGGGGGCTCATCTTCCCAGGCCTCCATGCCCAATGTGTGGCTGGAACTGCTCCCTTCCCGGTGAAGATCTCTGCATTTTTCACCCCCTCCCCCCATTCTGTGTCCCCTTCCAGGGACAAAGGTCCCAACTCCATCACTTCTCTTCCCTTCCTACCTGATTCTGTGTGGATTCTTTTAGCCTTGGTTGTAGAAGAGCCTTTATGTTAGTCTTGTTAGTTTTCAGTGAGATTGCTCCAAATGTAGAGGTATTTTTTATGTGTTTGTTGGGGAGGAGGTGAATTCTGTGTCTTCCTACTCTGCCATTTTGTTTTTTTCCATCTATTTTTAATGTGAAACTTTCGAAACCAATGTATTTGTTTCCAAACATATAAAAATGAATAAAGTGATGAGCTTATTTTGTTGGTTCCTTGGCAAACCTAGCAGACCTTTTATATTCAAACTAATGCTGTGTCCTTCCAAGATGTACAGTGTCCTCAAATACTGTAGAACTTTTCTTAAAGGGAAAACCCCTCCATACCCCATAGCCTATTCTTTGGAATCTTCTCAGGGAGGCCTTTGTTTCTTGGAGGCAAATTTGAGTTTTGGAAACAGCTAAAAGCTACTTGGCAGTGAATGAGGTGGGTGATCAAGCTGAAGAACATTATTTTTGGTTCCAAACAAGGTGTGACTATAAAGAAATGAGGCTAATTTTCTTGTATGGTACATAAACTGGCTCAACAGTCATTCCAAAAGAAGACTTCCAAAAATGTATGGCCTTGGCAAGAAGAAAATTTTCTCCCCCTGTTCTTGTTCTTTCTCACACACACACACACACACACACAGTGTATACTGTCTGGTCCAATATCCAGACAAGTAAAATCAAAGGCCCCTGGAATTTGGTTTAAAAAAATCAGTTACATGAGTATGGGATGGAAGAGACCTGGCTTGGCAGCCATTCATGCAAAAACACCTGGGGGTTTCAGTTGGCCACAAGCCCATCCTTCATGAAGAATGTGACATGGCCTCTAAGTGTCTGCATTCTAAGGAGGTGGAGGTCTTGGGATTTTGTAGAAACTTGAAAGCCCATGCTCCATTCTGCACAGGCTCCAGCTGCATCTTGAGCTCAGCTATCAGCACAACAGCATGAAAGGACCACTGACCCACTGGAGCAGGGAACAGGTGAATGAGTTGAAGAAATCCAGCCCAGAAGAGGCAAGAGTCACTGATTGAAAATTATTAAAGACAGCTGTGTGAAAAGTGGTATCCTCTCATGTTGGTCATTATGGAAGAGCCAAGAACAATGGGTAGAAATTACAGGAAGGCAGATTTAGGCTCAACCTATCAAAGACTGATTCATATTATAGACTTATATATTCATTATAATCTCATGTGTGTGAATATATACATACAAAGCAAGAAAAATAAGTGGAAATATTTCAATCAATATTTAATACTAACTGGCGTATAGAATCATGAGACAAATGTCATCTTTTAAACTTTACATGATGATGTACAATTAGATTTTGATTACTTGTGTGTATTTCTTTTGAAAAAAATGAACTTTCTAAAAATTGGAGGTGTCCAGCAACCAAATAGTCTGCTTTGCAACCTTGTGAGAGCTCTGCCTTAGGTGCTAATCAAACACGGGTTGTGGGATGAACTAATGGGCCCTTTTCAACCTAGGGATTCAGTATGTTGTTACATGATTTAACCTTGTTCAAAATATCAGAGTTGAGCTGGTGGAAGTTCACACATGGATCCAACGAGAAAGAGGCCTGAAAACTCCCAAGATGGTACAACTTTCCAACTACTGAGCCTGGTCTAAGGCCTCCCAGGTGGTGCTAGTGGTAAAGAACCCACCTGCCAGTGCAGGAAACAGATATGGGTTCGATCCCTGGGTCAGGAAGATTCCCTGGAGGAGGGCATGGCAACCCTCTCCAGTATTCTTGCCTAAAGAATCCCATGGACAGAGGAGCCCGGCAGGTTACACTGCATAGGATCACAGAGTCAGACATGACTAAAGTGACTTACCACACATGTACACAGGCTTAGTCTAAGGACAAAACTCATCTTAACAGAATTCATGTAGGATGTTTAAAGCAAAGGGTAAGATAAACACTTCAAAGGTATAAAGCTACCAGTAACTAGCTGTGAAACTAGATTCTGAACTAGGAGAATAAATACAGAGAAATAGGAAAAGACATGGATAAAATGCTAAGAGAGACAGGCCATTGAGTAAAAGTAAAATGTCAATAGGAGATGGTGGATTTTCCATGTTTTGTAAGTGTGAGTGGTTATTTTAATTCCAACCATTTAGCTGAAGCCAGAAGGCCTTGGACTTTATATAGAGTCTTCTGCTGGTCATCACTCAGCGGGCATGAACTGTAGTGGCTGTGTACCGAGATTACAGGAATGCTGCCTGGCTTGGGTCATGTTCTGGGAACTGAAGTGTATCAAATATGACCTGAAGCTGGCAACGTCTTGAGAGGCATGTGGCAACAGCACATGCATAATTCCATCACCGGGCAGAGGGACCGGCACTTACTTCCTTTTGTGACCAACGATGCCACAAAATCAGAGCAACAAAGAAGCTAAACATCTGGACTGGATTGTCCCTTTTACAAGAGGGAAACTGAGGACTAAAGAAGGGAAGTGAATGTGAAAGATGTTCAAAACCAGTCCCTTTCGTCTCCTAAAGAGGAGAAAAGGACTTTAAGATGGTGCCCTTCTGTTTGCAGGCATAAAACCCAATCTCAGGGTCACATTTTTGCCATATTAATTAAAACCTTGCTGTCAAGTGACAGGGACAGCCATTAGGTGCTAACTGGGCTTTCAAGCTTTCTGGTCTGCTGGTAGTGTAGCCTGGCATACTCTTGAGTCCAAGGAACAAACTTTTGCAGTATTTAGGTTTCATGAATCAAAGAATAATGATTCTCATAAATCTTACTCAAATACAGAAATAATGATGTTTAAAAGATAATGCCCGTTCAAGTTTTACCAACCACTACAAATCATTGAAAGATGCTAACAAATACCACTGATTCTAGCCTTGACCAAAACCAAGTGAAGGAAATGCTAAACCAGAAGTTTCCAATTTGTATTTGCAAAAATTTCTGCAAAGGATGAATATGGCTACCAGGAACTTGTGCTCCTCAGGAGACCCTGATGAAAGTGTGTTGTTGACCCATAAGTTGTGAGAAATGAGCCCTCCATCCCCTTCCTCCTGTCACCCTGCAGAAATGGGAGCTCCTGGTTGGGACCGCCTCCCAGAGTTAAAGGGGATGTCTCAGCCCTTCCCTGACCTTGGCTCACACTCCGGCTGTGTGCCCAGCCCCTCTCTCTCCTCATCCTTCAGCTTTGCTTCTCCTTGCTCTCAGGTGGGAGTTGAGGTCCTACTTATAAAAAGAGTCAACAATGTTTCTGGTGACCAGATCTGGCAAATGGGCAATAAGCCAGGCCTTGGAAACAATGTCAAGTCAGTCATTCCTGAGGTTCTTTGGCAGCAGAACACTCAAAGAGCAGCATCAGCATCATTATTGGGCTGGCGTATGTGTGAAACAGTTTTCAGTGATAATACTGGGCCTACAATGGACAGAAAGTTGGTGTTGGAATTAGTATTGGTGCCAGACCTTCCACTCCATGAGTGCAGGATCCAATCTGTTTGGTTTTCTATCATCTTGCAGCTGGTAGAGTGCCTGACAGCCAACAGGTATGCAAGGCCTAGTTGTGAAAAAAACAACTGTTGAAGGAACCCGTCTGAGGACAAGAGCTGCGTTGCTTCCTATAATTCTGGGTCTCCTGACAACAACCCCTATGACCTGACCCAGGGCAACTCCGGGCCTTGTCATGTGGCAACCCCTGGAGAAGAGTGACAGGGAGCAAGGAAGCTGGGGGAAGTACTCCTTTGTACCCTTGGGGACCCCTCTCTGCTAGGGGGGAAGGAAGAATAGTGTACATGATCCATACAGAGGATTTCTAGTTGGGCAAAACATTTTCAGCAAAGTGAAATTTGTAAAGAGAGATGGGGGGACTATTTTGACGTGTCTTTAGTTTCATAGGCAAGACACTCTAACTCATTTATTTTTTTAAATTATTTGGCTGCACTGGGTCTTAGTTGTAGCATGCAGGAGCTTTAGTAGCAGTATGTGGGATCTAGTTCCTTGATCAGCAATCCAACCCAGCCCCCCTCTGCGTTGGGAACATGGAGTCTTACCCACTGGACCATCAGGGAATTCCTTCTAACCTATCTAAGTGGAGATTATGGATGGGGTGTGTGTTGGGAGGGATTGGCTTTGACTGGAGCTTGAGGCCAAGACTGATACTCACCCAAAAGATAGGGAGGGAGGGGGATTTTCTTATATGGAATAGAAAGCTAGGTGAGGAGGAGGAAAGCACTGCATGGTCACCATGTATGAGGGCTTACAAAAAAGACTCAACACATTTTTATTTGAGTGTTTATTATTTTTTTTTTCCAAAGAAATCCATGCAAAGGGAAAGACAGAGAGAAAGACATGGCAACCATGTTCTAGCAGCCAAACATAAGAAAATAATTTGGCACAATTTGATTTTCTTTATTGCAAAAGAATCTATACTACCACTAAAATTTGCCCTCCTTACGGAGATGCCATGTGATTTTCGAAAACGTAACGCAGGGTTAGTCTTCTACTTAATGGCTGAAGGAGGTACAGAAGATAAAAAAATAGGGAAAAAGAAAAAGGTGGTTCCCTTTATAGAGGGAGACCACAGGGTGCTGAAGGGCAGCACATATGCTGTGAGCTTGGCAGTCAATGCACCAGGAGGAAAAAGCACAGCACAGAGATTGCCAAGCTGGTGAGAAGCTTCAGGGGAGGATGGCCATTCCCAAGGTTGTGAGAGGCAACTATCTCATTGTCCTTCTGATTCACATGCTGCTTGCTTCCAGGAGCATCGTCCACGTCCAGATCATAAGCCAGTTCTGCCGAGAGAGAAGAAAGACTTTAAATGCAGGCTCACCAACGGCCTCAGGTGTGCACTCTTCATGGCCCAGGCACTTGTCTGGACTGCTGGGGTAGCCCAGCTTTGAGTTCTTCCTTTCCTTGAAAGGAAGGCCGCCGGGAGATGGGAAGAAAATGTGAGTGTGGAGTTGGGGGCCCGTCCGAGGAAGAGGGCTAGTGGTGTTCCTGCCAGAGAGCACACCAAGGCGCACGCAAGCTGGCCACTCCCCTCCTGCCTTTGGCTCCACCCACACCCTGGGGTGCACACTGGCCCTTGTCATGTCTCCTGGGGGCAAGGCTATGCCATGTGGGTAACTTACATGCGTGTTCTCATGTGTATGTATGTTGGTGGGGGAGGGGATGTGGTGAACCCCCAGGGTACCTTTACTGTGTCCTGCACCCCTGGGAGCCTTGCCTTAGAGTTGACAGTAAGGTAGTTTGCCATTGAAAGTTGTTTTATTTTTCTGAAATATTTCTTCTTTTATCTATAGGGTCTTTTCACTTCTGACTGCCAACACACACACACACGATATGCACAGGATTTAAACTGATATCAAGTAAATTAAGACTAAGGAGAGGCCTATGGGTAACAGTCCTTCTTTGACTGCCTACCATTTATGAGATATCTTCATGATTCTGAAAAAGAAACTGGGGTTGGCCGAACTCAAAAGCCCCCTAGAAGGCAAATCTAAGTTGATAGTGGTGTATCAGGAAATTAAAGATGGTTGGCCCAGGGCTCAGTTTCTTTTAGATTTGATTTTCCAGATTTAGAGTGCAAATCTTTTCCTTTGGCTTTTCTAGACTCGGTCACCAATGTTTCTATTTCAATATCTTGTGAAGGTGATGTGCTGTGAGCAACTTCAGCAGCCAACTGTCCTGTGGCCAATGGAGCCAGAAAGATCTCTTGGGGACATGGAGATGCCTAGCAACAGGCACAGAGGAAATGACTGGGATTCTGCAGAAGGAAGGAAGGAAGAGGAAGGAAGAGCTCCTCTTACAGCGGATGAAACATGCAATAAGTCACAGGAAGAAAGTGTGGGGACTCAGCTGGTCCAGGATGTGTGCAGAGCAGGGCCTAAGACCAGGGCTGCTGTTAACAGGCTGGCATTGCTGAGAGCAGACAGCAAAGTCAAGGTGATCAGAGCCAAAGGCTCTGATTACACAGTCCGCAGTGCTAATTTCCAAAGGGCTATTGCAGTTTATAATGCCACTAGCAATGATGAGGGAACCAAAGTTACTATGTCTCAATAAAAAAAGATATTGTAGTCTATATAAGATGATACCTCACAGTTTCTTTAATTTGCATGTATCTGATTACTAGTATGGGCTTCCCAGGTGGCGCGGTGGTAAAGAATCTGCCTGCCAATGCAGGAGACGCAGATGCGGGTTCATTCCCTGGATTGGGACGATCCCCTGGAGGAGGGCATGGCAACCCACTCCAGTATTCTTGCCTGGAGAATCCCATGGACAGAGGAGCCTGGTGGGGTGTAGTCCATGGGGTTGCAAAGAGTCGGACATGACTGAGCACACATGTGCAATTACTAGAATAGATGAACGTTTTTTTTGTTCACTAATTATGTTTCTAATGAAGGACAGTTCATATCCTTTGCCTTCTTATGTAATTGGTATTGATGTTTTTCCTATTAATCTGAATGCACATTTCATTGAGTCCTTTGCTTATCATATTCAATACAAATAATTTTTCTATTTTGTAATGAACTATAATTATTTTTCATTGCTGTACAAAGAAATGATGTCCTAACTTTCAATATATAGGAATCTGACCACACTGTGCTCTTCTGAAGCTGAGAAAGTGTTTCTTCTTCATTGTTGATAATAATTCAAATCAAAATTTCCCGTGAACCCTCTTACTGAGGGAAAAGCAAATCAACAGACTAATCTCCATTCCTTCTCCCCCTAAAATAACTAGATACAAAGAAAATCAAAGAGAAAAAGAACAAAGAGCAATGCTTTGCTTGGAAATCAGACCTCTGTCTCTGCAAGGTGAATGGTGCAGAGCACGCAGGCGGAGGTCAGCTGTCAGTCGGCAAGGACAGTGCAGGCTTATAGGGCCTGATCAGATTTCACCAGCATTGAGAACACATATGGCTGGATCTGTTGAAAGCCCAGCCTTGAGTCTCACGGCAACTTCTCAACTTAAATGAAGAGGAGTATTTTTAGGACTGACCTGAATGAGAGCCCTCTCAGCAGTGCTTTCAGATTCCTTTTCCGGATATTCCCCTTGCCCAACATCAGGATTAAACAAACAACATCTACTACTGTGACCACTCAGTTCCCCTACTATTTATCTTGCTCTTCAAACAATCCGTGAACACTACACACGTTTGTCTACTATAGCTATACCATAACTACCATAGCTGGACCATAGCTACCATAACTATAGTTACGGCACACCCAGGAATTATGTTAAATCCAGCAGTTTCTCATTTTGTACCACCCAATACATCTTTTGTTATGTCTATATCTAGGATCTATGTTTTGAAATTATAAAAATGACTACCAATTATTGAGTCCTCGTTGTGTGCCAGGCACTGTGCTAAGTACCCTTTATATACATGATCTCACGTAATTGAACACTCTCAGCAATGTTATGAAATAGGTATTATAATTCCCATTTTACTGATGAGGAAGCTCAAGCTCAGGTTACTTTTTTGCCCATATTTACACAGCTGGTAAGTGGCAGAGGTGTTCTTTGAACACAGGGCTAACTCTGAACCTCACATGGGGCTATACCATACACAAATTGAAAAATTTTATATACCAAATATACTGCAGTGATTGAGTAGTAATGAGTTCCTTCTTGGGGAAAAAAAACTCAATTAGTGAAAATATCCTGCCAATGAGAACTAAAAGCCAGATGAAATAAATGAAGCAAAAAGACAACTTACAGACTGGGAGAAAATATTTGCAAATGATGCGACCAACACTGGCTTAATTTCCAAAACATACAAACAGTTTATACCAACACACAACAACAAAAACCCCAACAACCCAACTTAGGTCTTATGGGCCTAAGACCTAAATTGACATTTCTCCAAAGAAGACATATAGGTGGCCAACAGGCAATAAAAAGATGCTCAATATCACTAATTGTTAGAAAAATGCAAATCAAAACCACAATGAGATATCACCTCACACCAGTCAGAATGGCTATCATTAGAAACGCTACAAATAACAAATTCTGGAGAGGGTGTGGAGAAAAGGGAACCCTCCTACACTGTTGGTGGCAATATAAGTTGGTGCAGCCATTATGGAAAACATTATGGAGGATACCCCAGAAAACTAAAAATAGAGTTGATGTATGATCCATCAATCCCACTCCTGGGTGTATATCTGAACAAAACTATAATTCAAAAAGATACATGCACCTCAGTGTTCACAGCATCATTATTTACAATTGCCAAGATATGGAAGCAACTTAAATGTTCATCCACAGATGAATGAATAAAGATCTGGTGTGTGTATAAATATACACACACACATATATATGGAATATCGCTCAGCCATAAAAAAGAATGAAGTAATGCCATTTGTAGCAATATGGATGGATCTAGAGATTATCATACTAATGAAGTCATAAAGAGAAATACAAATACCATATGACATTACTTATATGTGTGGAATCTAAAATATGACACAAATGAACTTATCTATGAAACAGAAACAGACTCACAGACATAGGGAACGGACTTGTGGTTTTCAAGGAGGAGGGAGGGCAGGGGAAGGATGGGAGTTTGGGATTAGCAGATACAAACTACTACATATAAAGTGGATAAACAACAAGGTCCTACTATAGAGCACAGGGAACTGTAGTCAATATCTGGTGATAAATCATAATGGAAAATATAAAAAAGGTGTATAACTGAATCACTTTGCTATACAGCAGGAACAGAAGATTGTAAATCAACTATACATCAAGAGGAAAAAGTGCATGAGAGAAGTCAATGTTTTCACATACAACCGATCACATAGTTGATTAAGTAGCCTGCTTAAGCTTTGTGAAATACTGAAAAGAGGTTTAGGTTTTGGGACCCCAAATGGTTTTTAGATCAGCTCTATTTTCCTAAAGCAATCAGCAATGATGGCCAAGGCCATCAGACACATACCTGGCACAAAGCTGGGCCAAGTCTCCTACCTCCAAATGATCCTAGGAATATTCAGAATAATACTTTCCTGTGCTTCCTAAGCTGTGGCTGTGGGTTTCCCGAGGCTTCCCACCCAGCAGCAGTAAAGCTTTATCGCTCAGTCCTATAGCCAGGCTCCTGTGGCTGATACCGATGGGGGTCCCAGCAAAGATACATTCTGAGCCTGGGCCACCATCATGAAGAATAGAGATGAAGAGGACAGCTTAGCATGACAAGGAGGCACTACGGGACACAGAGGAAATAGAGATTTGGTTAAGATAAGCTTGGACATTCCTGGACAGGGGAAATATAATCCAGTTTAATTCAACAAACTTGGTGTTGGAGAAGACTCTTGAGAGTCCCTTGGACTGCAAGGAGATCCAACCAGTCCATCCTAAAGGAGATCAGTCCTGGGTGTTCATTGGAAGGACTGATGCTGAAGCTGAAGCGCCAATACTTTGGCCACCTCATGTGAAGAGTTGACTTATTGGAAAAGACCCTGATGCTGGGAGGGATTGGGGGCAGGAGGAGAAGGGGATGGCAGAAGATGAGATGGCTGGATGGCATCACCAACTCGATGAGCATGAGTTTGAGTAAACTCCAGGAGCTGGTGATGGACAGGGAAGCCTGGCGTGCTGCCATTCATGGGGTCGCAAAGAGTCGGAACCAGCTGAGCGACTGAACTGAACTGAACAGCAGCCTACTATGTCCCAAGCATTGAGCTAGAAGATTGGAGAAAGACTTAATGTTTGCCTTTAGGAATCCATACTATGGTGGGATTACAGACCAATAGACAAACCAACAAGGCACTTGGCAGAAAGTGGAAAGGGTTCAGA